TTCTGAAAATAGGTACATGCCTCCACCCAAGAAGATCTGTGTACATCAAACCTAATAAATAGTTTCCTGATTGCCTTGAAATAAAAAGTGAAAAATTGGCTGAGATTCTAAGTGCCCACTTCTTCAATCAATTCCTTTCCTCTAAAACAAAACAGAGACCACTGTGATGCTTTTTAGGATTTTTTTTTTTTAAATGAAAACAGAATATTCAGAATCAGCTGAGAAATGAAAGCTACAATGATGATCCTAATCCTAATAATTGCTACATCAGAGAATCACAGTTGTCAAAGTAAAATTCAACAAAATCTAGAAACCAGGCCCAAAAAAGGTCTATTCTTTATACTCTATCTGAGCACTTAACTCTCTGGTTAAGAACCTTTCGATGGCTCTTGCCAGCAATAACTTTAGGTCAGCATTTCCCATTACAAGTACAGTCAGCTGAAAAATATCAAACCAGTCTAGGTTCCTGACTATTGCGATGGCTTCATTGCAGAGTTTCTGCTGCTTGGCAGGAGGCAACTCCATTAAGATCTGAGGGACTGGCTTGAACTGTCCACTGGTCATCCAGGTACCAAGCAGTCCACCAACTGCTCCTCCTAGAAAATGAAGAGAGATGTTACTCCCTACTGTTAGACCAGAAATTCTAGAGAGAGAGTATCATCAATGGAATTCACCTCCTCATTAGAAATCAGCGCGGAGTTGAGTGAACAAGGCATATCTATTTTCAGGGAGGTGATGTAACATGTGACTTCAGTGACAGGGCGCCTTTTAAACTATACATAAAACACTGCTTAGTTCAAAAGATACAGAGGATACAATTATTTGCCATAGGACTCTGGCTTCTCTCCAATGTTTAGAAAGAATTCAATGTGGGGACGAAAGAATTTAAGGAGTTCGCCAAGACGTGGATAGAGAGTAGCCTTAACATACAGAAACAAACATCGTTTTGCTGCTCTTCTTCATGCCCTGCATCTGCCAACACTGTCCTACACTCCTGTCACTGCCTCAAGCCCTCCCGTCTTCACTCCTTACCACCGTGATAGAGCAAAGCTCACACTAATAAGTTCTCAGCTCACAGTGACTTTGCTCTCAGTTATGTGCCACACATCTGGCACTGGCATGTCTTAGCAGATGGGAACCAGCACTCTACCCACCTAAAGCAAACGAACATCTAACAGCTAGTTTGAAAGGCCCCAAGGAGTCAATACCTAAGCCACTGATCTGCATATGGCTTCTTCCGCTTAAGAAGCAGTTTTAAGTCACCAAGGTAACAGTCATTCTAAAAGGGAACACTGACACAGGCATTGCGATGCACCACTTGTTAAAAACACTCTTCTGAAAGAATGAAATGCAAAACAGCATCTTGTTAAAGCTCAGTTGAATGAAATCTTGCCAGTACACTCACACCCATTAGGTAGACTTGCTCACACAGTGAGCTAACCACACGTCTTATCCTAAAGCAAACATACTTACCTACAGCGATGCCACGCGGACCTCCAAGCAAACCCCCAACAAACGCGGTAACGCCTGCCAGGAGTGCTCCTTCACCAGAGTGCTTGACAGCTGCTGTCATTCCCTCCTCCTGAGCAACACGGCAAAGCAGTTGTATCATTTGATCCACGCGGATGGGCATCTTGGCTGGTTAAGGACCTGAAAAAGATGTTAAAGGTAAGTTTGGTTGCTGCAAGAGGGACACGATCTTGCTGCTTACAGCTCCAGAGCCAGCGACACTGACACAGTACACTGCCAGAGCCACTGTGGAAAAACAAAAAATTACTTTCTCTTTCATTTCTGGGAAATCTTGAGGTAAAGGTCTATCATAAATGATTTTTTTTTTTTTTTTTTTTGCAGGCAAAAAGATAATCCTCATTCCCAACTGTAAATGAAGACACAGAACAGAAGGGGTCTCTGTTCTTAAGACCAACTCAGGTGACTGAAAAAGGGCAAACTAAAGCAATGAAAAACATAAGGAAGCTTCTATCCAGTTCTACAGACATGCATATCCTGCAATCTAGGAGAGGTTATTTGCTGACAATATGACTAAATTCAAATGCAGCTCTGATTAAACACAGCATTTCACATTACCAGACAATGAAAAATGCAGTTTTGGTTTTGAGTGCACTACAGCCAAAGGATACTTTCCACTTTAGCAACTATTCTAAAAGGCAAGAACACAGAGATAACAAAAATAATACCCTCCCCTCACGTTGTGAAAGTCATCCCAATACCAATGAAATACCAATTCAGAGCACTGAGATCATGAACAGAAATTAAGACTTTCAGCCCAAACAGCAGAGCTCATGAAGCGTTCAGAGGGAGAGGTGAAAGGACTCAGCACAGAACAAGAGCATGCTTGTTTGTGACACAAATACCTTCAATGCCTATCATTCTGCACAACAAACAAGGAAAGCTGTTGCTGGAAAAAATAAAACAGTGCACACAACATGACTAAAAATACAATCACAAATACACAGGAGGCACAGAGTTATCGTTGTGCTTGTTAACTGTAATACTATCCAGTAGCCGAGTGTCTCATTTTTCAGTCTCAAAACAGTTTTGATAATAGCATGTCATACCTTTGCAGCTCAAGCCAACTTATTTTCAAGCCTCCCTACAACACATCTCCTCACTGCAAAGTGAAAGTAAAGCAATAACAAAATAACTTTCAATTTAAAAATATCTACTGCGAAAATGAAAGGTTATTTCTGTACTAAAGTGGCTGACTCCAAGCCATCTCTGTCTTTGTGGTATCCAAGCACAGTTAACTCTGAACAAAACCTGCTCGTTGGGAAAGGCACCAAGAATGATCCACAGCTCCAGAGATACACACTCAGAAATCCTTCAGACAGTCACCTCCTCTTGCTGCTTCATTCATCTTCATGCCAGCCTAAAGCAAACATTGCAGTTCTTCATTTTACCACAGGTGCTGGGGGTTGCTGTCAGGCTTTGGACACAGCAGTGCATGACAGTAACAGTGCGTGCTGGTTGGTGACACACTGCATCCATTGCTTCATTCACTGAAGTTCAGGCTCAAAGCACTAAAAAACAGCTGCTCTGTTCTTCCTTGAGCACTAAGAAAACAAATAGGAAGAGTCAGAAATTGTTATCACCTTGACACTGTAGCACAGGACTGTAGTCAGAGACAAAAGACAATGACCATTTCTTTTTGCAGCGTTCAACAGAATGAACTGCCATAAGTCGTTAACATACAAACAACCAATACCATGGCATCCCATGCTAATTGCCCTACAGCAGACAGCTACCAGAGTGTCCTTAATGTCAAGTGGTTGTTTCCTCCCTCTTGTTCGCCCAAACTCACTTGAAATTAATAGCCAACTTAGTTTCTGTTCTTCTATCACCAGCAGTGATAGACTGTGTTTTAGACCAAACTGCACACCTTGCTGCAAACCTACTGCTACCACTCTGAATATAGCTACTTGTTACCTTTTGAGAAGTTCCACATACATCATACTTTACAAATAGTGATACAAACAACCCATTTCTTTCTGGTTCTCCATCAGCCATCTGAAAGCATGAGTACACTAAATTATACTGGCTAATAGCATGCTACTGTGCAACACAGAGTATAAAGCTCCTCCTGAGCTCAGTGGCAGTAGCATTTAGCATAAAGTAGATGGGCCCACACAGCCCTCTGAAGCACTCTGACCAGTCTCCCCCTGGTACACACATATCTCATACTCCTACATACTACAGCAAATGCCGAAAGGTTGCCATTAAAAGTAGTTTCTCATTTCTGAGTATATAATGAAAAGTATTTGAAAGAATAAGAAACAGAGTAACATACGACAGCACAGGACTGACATTCTCATAAATTAAGCTCAATTAGTGGCTGTGACACTGGCATAAGCACCATAAATTAATTCAATATCTACCTTTGGTCCTCAATTTGTGAATGTGTAACATGGGAGTCACAATCCTGATATCCGCAACTACCCTAAAATCTGCTAGCAATCAGTTTTAATAATAGGACTGCTATTATAAATTAACTGAAACCAGAATCTTTCCTGTGACCTACTTAACAATCACATGCCAGGTTTTTTCAAGTCCATCTTTGAACGGCTGATTATAAAGGGGATAGGCTCTCTCCTCCTGTTTCACTCAAATATCTGCTGCTGGTAGCAGCATAGTCTTCCAGAAGAGTCAATTTGGTTTGTGAAATAATCATAAAATTGTAAATAGAAGTGTATGAGTTTTAAGAAATAATACTTTAAAAGAGCTATAGAGTACATGAGTGACAGCAGGACAAGGGGAAATGGTTTTAAGCTGAGGGAAGGGAGATTTAGGTTGGACGTCAGGGGGAAATTCTTTACGGAGAGAGTGGTGAGGTTCTGGAACAGCTGCCCAGAGAGGTTGTGGATGCCCCATCCCTGGAGGTGTTCAAGGCCAGATTGGATGGGCCCCTGGGCAGTCTGGTCTAGCATTAGGTGGAATGGTTGGTGGCCCTGCGTGTGGCAGGGGGTTGGAGATTCATGATCCTTGAGGTCCCTTCCAACCCTGGCAATTCTGTGATTCTGTGATACGTATGGACTTAAAAGAGAATTGTACTGTGTGTAATCTGTCAAACTGAAAAAACACTGATTTCAGGTATGTATTATGAAACTACAGCAAGGTCAGAAGTGCTCACTGCCATTTGCTGCTGGCTTTCATTTCACTGAAAAAGCACTTTCAAACAACAGTCATTGCCCTGCACTCCAGGAAGGAAAGTAAACTGTATTTATTAACAACAAAGTATTCCTGCAGAACTGAATTAATCAAATCTAAACAACAGCAAATTTTGAGTTGAAACTTCCAGATTTAAAGCTCAACTATGAGAAATGTCACCACCCAAACATGGAGAAATCTTTACTGCAAGACTAAAATTATCAGAGCGGTATCACTTGTTCCTAAATATTAAAAAAAAAAAAAAAAAAAAGCACATCTACTCATTATTCAATTTTTAACCTTGTTTCCTGTGTGCCTTGCAACAAATGCTGAACAACTGGTTGGAAAATTAAGTGCCCAGTTCTTAAAACAGTTCATCTACTGTAAAGCAAAACAGAGACCACTGTGATGCTTCTAAGGAATATTTTAATGAAGACAGAGGATATTCAGAATCAGTTGAGAAACAAAAGCTACAATGACAATACTAATGCTAATAATTAACACACTGAAGAATCACAACTGTCAGAGTAAAATTCCCTACAACGTATAAATCTGCTCTGAAAAGCTTTATGCTCCGTACTTTATCACTGCACTCTGCTCTCTGGTAAAGTAATTTTCCAGTAGTTTAGCCAACTGCAGCTGCAGAAGATGACTATTCATTACAACAGCAGTTAGTCGAGCAAAATCAGACCAGTCTAAACTCTGGAGTACAGCAATGGCTTCAATGTAGAGTTTCTGCTGCTCGGCAGGAGGCAATTGCCTTAAAATCTGAGGGACTGGCTTGAATTTTGTGCTGTTCATCCAGGCACCAAGCAGTCCACCGAGGGCTCCTCCTAGAAAATGAAAAGAGATGTTACTCCCCATTGTTAGACCTGAAATTCCAAAGAAATGCTTTCTCAATACTGTTCACCTCCTCAAATGATGATCAACGAATCAAGGACTGTTATAGCTTTTTACATCAACAGAGGAACTCAACACAATCAAAGATAACAGTTTCAAACTCAGAAATCAAACAACATTCCTTATGGTACTGGTCTCTTTAGGACAAGTTCTGCTATTACATGAATCCGACCCCATGGAAAAAACAGTTAATAACTGCCTTACCAGTGACCATTAATACAGAATCTTTTACTACAGATCCCTGGTATGATCCAAGCTTCCTGCTTCAGCAAAGATGCAGGATGCAACTTCCTACACCCATGATGTCCACATTTCAGAAGATGCTCATGGAGGCCAAGATCATCAACTTTCTTGGATTATTCAGACACATTCAACCTTTCTCCTACCAAATTAACATCCCACCAGACTTGGAGAAGAATCTCTCTGCCAGGCAGTATGGTTCCAGGCCATCAAGTGCAGAGCAGAAGGATCACATATAGATAATGTGGGTAGGACTGCCACAGCCAAGAAATAAGGATCACGGCCCTACACTGATGTGCAATATATAATGGCTAGCAGCCATACAGAACAGTGCTTTTCAGTGACTTACAATGCTGCAAAGAAATTGCAATTTACTCCAGTACCAGTAAGCCCTTCAGATTTATGGAACTGCTCTAAGAGTAAACTCAAGGACTGATGCAACATGTGACTTCAGTGACAAGGCACCTTTTAAACTATATATACAACACTGCTCAGTTCAAAAGATACAGAGGATACAATTATTTGCCATAGGACTCTGGCTTCTCTCTAATGTTTAGAAAGAATTCAGTGTGGGAACGAAAGAACTTAAGGAGTTCGCCAAGACGTGGATAGAGAGTAGCCTTAACATACAGAAACAAACATCATTTTGCTGCTCTTCTTCATGCCCTGCATCTGCCAACACTGTACTACAGTCCTGTCACTGCCTCAAGGCCTCCCATCTCCACTCCTTACCACAGTAATGGAGCAAAGCTCTCAGTCTGAGACTTTGCTCTCAGTTATGTGCCATACATCTGGCACTGGCATGTCTTAGCAGATGGGAACCAGCACTCTGCCCACCTAAAGCAAACGAACATCTAACAGCTAGTTTGAAGGGCTCCAAGGAGTCAATACCTAAGCCATTGATCTGCATATGGCTTCTTCTCAGAAAAAGCAGTTTTAAGTCACCAAGGTGACTGTCATTCTAAAAGGGAACGCTGACACAGGCATTACAATGCACCACTTATTAAAAATACTTTTCTGAAAGAATGAAATGCAAAACAGCATCTTGTTAAAGCTCAGTTGAATGAAATTTTGCCAATACTCGCCCCTTCACTTCGAATCATCCCAACTAAATAGACTTCTGCTGCTTTTTTTTTTACAGTCAGTGAGTCAACCACACTTCATACACCTAAAGCAAACACACTTACCTACAGCAAGCCCAGGTGGACCTCCAAGCAAACCCCCAGCAAAGGCAGTTGTAATAGTCACTATCCCTCCTCGAAAAGAGTGCTTCACAGCAGCTTTCATTTCCTTCTCCTGAGCAACGCGGCAAAGCAGTTGCATCATTTGATCCACACGGATGGGCATCTTGGCTGGTTAAGGTCCTGAAAAAAACGTTTAAGTTGACTACTGCAAGAGGAATAAAACCCTGTTGCTCACTGGAGTCAGTGAGACTAAAAACACACTGTCACAGTCACTGTGTAAAAACAAAAAATTACTTTCTCTTTCATTTCTGGGAAATCATGAGCTAACAGTTTCCCAGATTTTTTTGCTGGCAAAAGATAATGCTTATGGCAATTGTAAGTGAAGCCACAGAATAGAGCAGAGGACTCTGTAGTTTGGATGAACTCAGGAAAATGCACAAGGGTAAACTACAGCAATGAAAAATGTAAGAAAGTCTCCATTCAGTTCTACAGTATATCCCCTTTGCCTCAAGAAATTGCTGGCTTTATTCAGCCTTGGGATGGCTCCAGGACAGAGGCCACGCAGAACCTCATTCAATCATACCTGGTGGATTGTAGTTTACATACCTGCTATATATCTTCTCTATGTGCTAACTTTTGCCATAAATTAGGTACTTCTCACAGCTTGTTTCTTTTCCAAATCTTCTTCCATGCTTAAAACAGTTCATGCACTCTAAAGCCAAACACAGACCATTGTGATGCTTCTTAGGAATATTTTAATGAAAACAGAGGACCAGATGTTCAGAATCAGTTGAGAAACAAATGCTAAAATGACTAAACATATAAAAATGTCAGACTTGTCCTTCCTCACTCCCCTTTTTTAACCAGTCTCCTTGCCACACATTCCAGTTCTAGGATATCAGGAACCACTAATTCTGTAGACTCTATTTCACCTGTTCTTCTAAGTTCCTCCAAACAGGTATTGGCTTCTCTTCTTACAGAAACAAATTCCCAAGAATTACAATAAAAATGTGACCAAAAAATCAAGAAAGGCTTGAGGTTTGTGAGTTCACAGTAGAAATAATTTCTTGCAACTTTCCCTTGTAATACTCGGGCACCAGGTAAAATTCTTCTAAGTGCCCTCGACACTTTAGCACTCATGCTATACACAGAAGAAATTTAAAGCACTTCAACAAACAGGTTTACATCTCCTAAATAAAATACAAGGACTTTGAAAATTTTACCTAGTGCTACATTATCTGGCAAGAGAACCAGAATTCCCTTCAGTGATCTTGAATTCAATCCCACTACACAGTACTTCAAATAACACAGCAAGGCAGTGACAGGATAATACAATAAACCTATAATAACTTGTGCTAAAAAAAAAAGGTAATACTTAGATCTGCCTACATTTGTAACTAGTAAAGCTAACTAACAATTGATACATTGAAGAATCACAACTGTCAGAGTAAAATTCACTACAATCTAAAAACATTCTCTGGGAAGATTTATTCCCCATACTTTATCTCTGCACTTAGCTCTCTGGTGAGGTAATTTATCACCACTCCTGCCAACTGCTGCTGGAGATGACCACTTCCCATGACAAGTGCAGTCAGCTGAGCAATATCAGTCCAGTCTAGATTCCTGACTATTGCAATGGCTTCATCGAAGAGCTTCTGCTGCTCCGCAGGAGGCAACTCCATTAAAATCTGAGGGACTGGCTTGAACTGTCCACTGGTCATCCAGGCACCAAGCAGTCCACCAAGTGCTCCTCCTAGAAAATGAAGAGAGATGTTACTCCCTACTGTTAGACCAAAATTCTAAAGAGATGTTCATCAATAGTGTCTACCTCCTCATTAGAAATCAGTGCAGAGTTGATTCAACAAGGCATATCTTCTATCAATTGGGTGAATGACGATCAAGTACCAAGAAGAGTTTTTACAGCTTTTTACATCAACAAAGGAACTCAACACAATGAAAGCTAACAGTTTCAAACTTGAAATCAGAAATCAAACAACATTCCTTATGGTACTGGTCTCTTTAGGACAAGCTCTGCTGTTATATTAATTCCACTCTATGGAAAACGCACTGTTAACAACTGCCTTGCCAGTGACCATTAACACAGAATCTTTTACTCCAGACCCCCAGTATGATTCCAGCATACAGCTTCCGTAGAGATGCACATTGCAGCTTCCTACACCCGTGAGACCAAACTTCAGAAGGTGCTCACAGAGACTAAGTTCATCAACTTATAACAGCTAGTTCAAAAGGCTCCAAAGAGTATATACATAAGCCTGTGTATGGTTTCCTGTTCTCAGAAAAAGGAGTTTTAAGTCACTGAGGTCACTGTCATCCTAAAAGGGAACACCAACACAATAATCATCACAGAATCACAGAATTCTAGGGGCTGGAAGGGACCTCTAGAGGTCATCAAGTCCAACTCCCTGCCAAAGCAGGCTCCCTACAGCAGGTTGCACAGGTAGGTTTCCAGGCGGGTCTTGAATATCTCCAGAGAAGGAGACTCTACAGCCTCTCTATGCAGCCTGTTCCAGTGCTCCATCACCCTCACTGTGAAGAAGTTCTCATGCATATTGGCATGCAACTTCCTATGCTCCAGTTTATAGGCATTTCCACTTGTCCTGTCCCCACAGACTGCTGAAAAGAGGTTGGCCATGTCTCTTTGACTCCCACACTTAAGATATTTATAAACATTAATCAGATCCCCCCTCTGTCTTCTTAAGGCTGAACAGACCCAGGTTGTTCAGCCTTCAGTACTTGCTGAGGGTGGACACTGTCCCCTCATCAAGGCTGATGAAGATATGGAACAAGAGTGGACACAGCACCAACCCCTTGGGAGCACTACTAGTCACAGGTCTCCAACTGGACTCTGAGCTGCTGATCATCACCCTCTGAACTCAGAGGGGTGAGCACCATTATGATGCACCACTTCTTAAAAGCACTCTTCTGAAAGAATGAAATGCAAAATGGAATGCTATTAAAGCTCATTTGAATGAAATCTTGCCAATACACTCAATCCCACTAATCAGACCTGCTGGTTTCTTCACTCAGTGAGCCAACCACACTTACCTACAGCGATGCCAGGTGGACCTCCAACCAAACCCCCAACAAATGCAGTTGCACCTGCTAGGAGTGCTCCTCTACCAGAGTGCTTGACAGCTGCTGTCATTCCCTTCTCCTGAGAAACACTGCAAAGCAGTTGCATCATTTGATCCACGCGGATGGGCATCTTGGCTGGTTAGGGACCTGAAAAAGATGTTTAAGGTGGGTACTGCAGTGGGGACGAAATCTTGCTGCTTATAGCTCTGGAGTTGGTAAGACAAACAAGACACAGGCACAGTGATTATGGAAAAACAAAAAATTACCTTCTAGTTTTTCTCTAGAAAACCAAAGAGCTTATGGTCAACAAATCTAAATGAAACCATAGAACAGAGCAGAGGACTCTGTTGTTTGGATGAACTCAGAAGAATGAGCAAGGGCAAATTACAGCAATTAAAAATGTAAGAAAGTTTCCATCCAGTTCTGGAGTATATTCCCTTGCCTCGAGCAATTGCTGGCCGTATTCTGCCTTGGGCTCCAGGACAAAGATCAAGCTAAACTTCATCAAAACATAACTTGTAGACTGTAGTTTGCATATCTGCTATATATCTTCTCTTTGTCCTAGTTTTTGCAGTAAATTAGTTACTTGTTGTTACATCTCACTTCTTTTCCTAATTTTCTTCCATGTTAAAGAATTTTGACGCCAACTTCAGATGGCTGAAGACTGGGGTGCTTAAACCAAAGGTTGTCCACATGAGCAGGAAGAGCCAGGAGGAAGGAAACAGACTCCAAAATGGGTTGGAGGTGACAGCTGAGATTGGGAATCTATGGGCGGCTCTAGAGATACGGAATCAGAAACACAGGGTGTCTCTGAATGGCAGGATGGGACTTCAACCAGACAAGAAACACAACTCTCATTTGTTGAAGGAGGCAGAGGTGGGAAAGGAACAATAGGAAAGAACAGACAGGGCAGGAGGATTGCTTCCTCGGAAAATCTCGTCCAGCAGGGCACGAGCTGACAACTTTACAGGGCATTTTCTTTCCCAGCTGAAATAACTGCATACTTAATATTAAAGAATATACGTGTCTCTGTACAGTTGGTGACAGCAAGTGTAGTGAGCGAGGCAAGAGGCTACAGGAAATGGCAGAATAGCTTTGAGTATCAAAAAAAACCCCAAAAACGAAAAACAAATTACTGAAGGCTGCCCTGAAGAAAGATCGTATCCCTGTTTTTGCACCCACTGGTTGCATACTATTGAGCCAGGAAAAAAAAGCACACCTTTTGGTAACTACTTCAACTTTTCCAGACATCCATATATTCCCATCTAGGAGAGGTTATCTGCAAAAATCCTGACCTCCAAAAAATGCAGCTCTGATTAAACACAGCATTTCACATTACTAGGCAATGAAAAATGCAGCTTTGGCTTGGAGTGCACTACAGCCAAAGGATACTTTCCACTTTAGCAACTATTCTAAATGGCAGGAACATAGAGATAACAAAAATAACATCCTCCCCTCACATTGCGAAAGTCATCCCAATACCAATGAAATACCAATTCAGAGCACTGAGATCATGAACAGAAATTAAGACTTTCAGCCCAAACAGCAGAGCTCATGAAGCGTTCAGAGGGAGAGGTGAAAGGACTCAGCACAGAACAAGAGCATGCTTGTTTGTGACACAAATACCTTCAATGCCTATCATTCTGCACAACAAACAAGGAAAGCTGTTGCTGGAAAAAATAAAACAATGCACACAACATTAAAATTAAAACTGTAATCACAAATACACAGGAGGCACAGAGTTATCGTTGTACTCGTTAACTTTGATACTATCCAGTAGCTGAGTGTCTCATTTTTCAGTCTCAAAACAGCACAGCACGTGTCATACCTTCACAGCTCAAACCAAGTCATTTTCAAGCCTTCCTACAACACATCTCCTCACTGCAAAGTGAAAGTGGAGCATTTCACAATAAAAATTATCTACTGTGAAAATGAAATAAAAATAAAATGGCTGACTCCAAGCCATCTCTGTCTTTGTGGTATCCAAGCACAGTTAACTCTGAACAAAACCTGCTCGTTGGGAAAGGCACCAAGAATGATCCACAGCTCCAGAGATACACACTCAGAAATCCTTCAGACAGTCACCTCCTCTTGCTGCTTCATTCATCTTCATGCCGGCCTAAAGCAAACATTGCAGTTCTTCATTTTACCACAGGTGCTGGGGGTTGCTGTCAGGCTTTGGACACAGCAGTGCATGACAGTAACAGTGCGTGCTGGTTGGTGACACACTGCATCCATTGCCTCATTCACTGAAGTTCAGGCTCAAAGCACTAAAAAACAGCTGCTCTGTTCTTCCTTGAGCACTAAGAAAACAAAGACCAAAATGTACCAGTGGTACAACTCATCCTACTAATCTTGGCAATGGTGACTTGAAAAATAAGTGTTTGTCTTTAGTTTGCTTAACAATAGGTGAGCTGCTTTCCATTTAGAATGACGCTGAGGAGAAATGAGAGGACAACCGCTGCAGAACTCAGCTCTTGCTCTCTATGACAAGAACATGAATGTGTGAACGCCCTGCTCCACCACAGCAGGATCTCAGGCTAAACCAACAGCCCGAGTGCTGAAACACATTTATTTCTTCTCTTTGGGCTAAATCTAGGGAACGTCTTGTGAAGATAAGGAGGGCAGAGCTGCTACTGCAGCATGATGAAGTCACAAGGTCACAGTGAGGAAGGCTTCGAGCCTTCCCGGGGATGACTGCTAGCCTTGGTGCAACGACCACCAGACAGAGCCCAGAGACCTGTCCCATCGTTTTGGAGCGCACGTGCAAGAGGGTGAGCAGTATAAGCTGCCAGGAACTCAATGCCTGTGTAACCCACTGCCAGTCGGATCCACCCAATTTCTCTTTCAATTCATAAACCGCACCTATCCTTCTTTCGGTTCCTGGCGAGGAGCGGCCCGTTGGACCCCACATCCGCACGGCTGCAGCCAGGCGCAGCGGCCGCCCCCCGGCCCCGCGCTCCGCTCCCGCCGCACCGCGGCTCCCGGCCGAGCCCTCCTGGCGCCGTCAGCGCCTCCCCGCCGGGCCCGGAGCCGCGCCGCCGCCCCATCGCCTTCCCGACGTCCCTGACCGCCCCCCTCCCGAGCGCGGCCGGCACGCAGGGACGCCCGGCTGAGCGACGCAGGCCCCGCGCGGCCCTTCCCTCCCTCACGGCTCCCGGCCGCGGCTCCTCCCTCGGTCCCGCTTTCCCCCCCCGGCGGCCCGCTACCTGAGCCCGCGGCACGCTCGGCGCCCGCCTCCGTCCGGCAGCCCGGGGCCAGGCTGCCGCGGGCCCGGCAGGAAGCGGCTGCGGCGCGGCCGGCGCCGGGGGAGGAGCGCGGAACTCGGGGTGACCCCGCGCGGCGCGGCCGCGGAAGGGAAAGGCGGCGAGGGAGGAAGGGAGCCGCGGCCGGGAATGGGCTCAGCCCTGCTTTGCCCTGGCGAAATGCTTAGCCCGAGGTAGGCAGTAGGGATCGCTCCTCCGCCGCGTCCCCGCGACGAACCCAGCCGGCGGCCGCGGGAAGCCGCGCAGGAGCTTAGCAAGGGCCTCTGGATATTATAAGAGTGGCAGCGTTTCCTGCGCTGTTCTCAGCTCCCCGTCCCAGCCGGACTATTAGAAAGAAGAGGAAGGAAGGCTCTGTGCCACAGAATACGATTAAATCACAGAATCACGGAATTGTTTCAGTTGGAAGGGACCATTAAAGGCCGGCTATCCAATCTGCCTGCACTAAACAGGGACACCTATTGCTACATCGGGTACTCAGAGCCTGGTCCAGCCTGACCTTGGGTGTCAAGGATGGGGCATCCACCTCTCTGGGCAACCTGTGCCAGTGCCTCACCACTCTTATTGTAGATAACTTCCTCATGTCCAATCTAAATCTGCCCTCTTTCAGACAATTTCCCCTTGTCCTGTCACAGCAGACTCTTCTAGAGAGTCCATCCCCTTCTTTCTTACAGCCCTCCTTTGGACAATGAAAGGCCGCTCTCAGGTCTCCCCAGAGCCTTCTCTCCTCCAGGCTGAACAGCCCCAGCTCCCAGCCTGTCCTCGTAGGGAGATGTTCCATCCCTTAGGTCATTTTTATGGCCTTCCTCTGGACATTCTCCAACCAGGTCCACATCCATACTGAGGACTCCACATCTGGATGCAGTGCTCCAGATGAGATCTCAGCAGCAGAGAGCATAGGCGCAGGATCACCTCCCTTGCCCTTGCTTTGGATTCAGTCCAGGATACAGTTTCTTTCTGGGCTGTGAGTTCTGACCCCTGAGGGACACCACTTGTCACTGATCTACATCAGGGCTTTGAACCAATGACCAACACTCTCTGGACTCCAGGTCATCCATCAAATAGTCCGCCTTTTTGAACTGGTCCAGCCAGCTGCATCTAAGAGCAACTCTGCATCCCTTTAATCTATGTTTATTTCAGTCATTGGTTCAGTAAAGTGCAGCATGCTAGTCTGATACAGCACCATATGTAATGAAACAAGTGATGAGCTGAAGCAGTGCTAAACAGCTGTGTCACATATGGCTCTAGAAATATCACACTGTTTCTTAACGCCAGCACAGTCTTCAAAAAGTTGCTGCCTAATGTTAAAAAAGCTGTTGTTTTCCAAAGATGGATTATTGTGAGGCTTTTGTGTCCCTGTCAACTAAGTCTTTATTATGATTTCATCTCTGATTTAAAGTAAACCATTCCCCCCCAAGCACTCCCCCAGTTCCTTGTTGAGAAGATGAAAATTCAGAATGACGAAAAGAAAACATAACTTGCAATTTTTGTCTCTTTCCTGTTGTTGCACTGGGGACTTTTTAACCTCCCTGTGCTTTATATGATCACATAAAATAACTCTCTGTTTAACAACTCAAAATGTTACAGGTCTATCGGTACTCTTGATTTTTATGATTTGGATGTAAAAAGCAAATGTAATTCCTAAAATGAAAAGAACCAAAATGTCACATACATTTTAAAAAGTAACACCCCAAAATAGCAGCTGTAAGCAGCTTTCCAAGGAGCAAAATAAAGAGCAATGAAGCATGCAGAACATGAAAAAGGGCATTTTTATCAATCTGTCCTGAACTGAATAATTAACTCAGAACTCCAGTTAAGGATAAACACTAGTAATTTATTAGGGCTACGTCATCTAGCCTACTAGATCTACATTTTCTCTAAAAGTTACTGGACTGAAAATGTGGGAGAGCAGTGACAAATGTATCCTCTAAGGCTATAAGTGCTGCTCTAAGACACACTACACTCTCCAAGAATTTCTGGCTGTTGAAATTGATGGGAGTTGGCCATTGTAATCACTTGGATCCAGATTTCTTCCTGCATGTAGTTACTAGTCAGTACTTGTTTTCCTTATCGGGCATCAGCCTCCACACATGAATCAGCACATCACAGTCCACCAAATATCCTGTGAGTTTTGGTGTAATAACTATGTTTATAGAAGCCCTATTTTCAGTCTTAGCGATGCAGGAAGACCCACAACAGTTCCTCCTGCCCACGTTTACTGCCCGGCTGGCTCCATCTGGTGGCTGTCCGACCACCTAGCCATGGGTCCACAATCACAGCATGCCAAATGGGAAAAAGTTATCTCGAGTGACAGAAGGGATAGCTCTATTGGCTGAATTCTCTCTTACAGGACTGTGTATTGTGGAATCACTAATTTTTGCATGTATTTATCTCAATTTCAACATCCAGACCTAATAAATAATTAGTATATGGGATAAACATTCATATGTGTTTCATATTCTAGGAATTGGTGGAGTGAGAGCAGTTCAGGGTAGTCCTGCTGTGACTCAGATCCCATCATGGATGTCACTGTATTCACCACACTATGCTAGGCTCTTAAAAGTAGTGACGGCATTGCTGTTCCTATGTAGCAGTTCTCTTTGTCTCTTTATCAGCATTCACTGACTAACTTCCTTCAGTGGGATGTTTTGTGCCTTTTTCTTCTTTAGGTTACTAGGAGTTTTGAAAGCAATCAGGAAAAAAATATTCTCTTTTACCCCCTCAAAGTCTTCAAACACCCATATAAATTGTCTGTCAAAAGCATACCTCAGACACCAACTACAGTAGCAGAGCACAGGCAATTCTGTTTTAGTGAGCCACTTAGCAGATTCCTGCCAGAAGTCTCTCCCTAGCATATGACAGAACCCAAAATAGCTAGAGACAAGTCCAACATGTCCTCAAAGTGTTCACTGTGTATTTTCACAGCTTTTGACATACTAGGAGATAGGCCAAGGGGGACCAGGGATGATTTCATCTGGAAGTTGGCTGTTGCTGCCGACAGACTGATTCATTCTGGCTTCCAGCCTGCTCTGTACAGGGTCTAGAGAAAGTGTCCTGCAGGAGCAAGCTCAGTGCTGGAGGAACAGTCCCAAATACCTGATGCAATTATCTGAAATCCCTGCTACCTCCACAGGAAGCCATGGCAGATTTAAGATGAGGCACTTAATCTTGTTGGATCAAAAAAAAGCTGAAGCCATTTCTCCAAATTTTCTTCAATGCCTGAGATTCCCTTGGAAAACACAAGCATTAAGCAACTGTACATGGCAGACTTTTATTTTCAGCTAGTTGAGCTTTTTTTTCTTTTCTCTGCAATCTTTGTATTTATCACTATTACAGTATCAGGACAAAGACCTTGAGGCACGTGCAAGTAATACAGATCCACCTGTGGAAGTTTGTAAAGCAACTTAAAGTACCAATTAAGATTTCCCTTTCATGTTAGTGTGTTAGCTTGGATAGTGGAGAAGATGGTTTAATTCAAAATATTATTCAAAGCAAATAGAAAAATGAAAAAGGAAGAAATATCATGTGTTTCCCAGAATATGTGATGGGAATGGTCACAGAGAAGAAAGGAAACAGAAGATGTAACAGAAGAAGTTTCTAATCATATCCAGGTTTAAGAGGGTAAGAGGCTTGTATCAGTTCCCCTCAGCTCAGCTGTTTAATGTCTAGGGTTCTATACCTCTATCTCTCCTTAAATGCTATAAAACTACCATATGAGTGCTCTGAAGGATCACAGGAAGAAGAGTTTGTTCTGAAAGAGTCTGCCACTTCTGCTTCATATTATAACTTGAATTTTTCCTTCTTGAAAACAACACATTTAAAATGTCCAAGTTCCTTACATTACTTTCCAGATTACCTAGCAAATTGTGAATTTCACAAAGCAAGGCACAACCTATAGTGAAAAAAGAAAATGAGTATGAAAGTAATTCTATAGCACATAAGCCCTTGAACAGAGCCAGGCTTTCCCAGTAAGGGAAAATCTGCAACTACAGAATGGCCATTTAAAAGGAACTGTGCTTTCTGCAGAACTCTGTGTAATGACATAAGTAAAAGAAATCCTAAAACCAGTAACCTAGATACTTTTACCTTATTAGGTAATCTTATTAGGACTCTTCACCTCAGAAATACGGGTGTACATAGTGAAAATGACAGTTCTTACCCAATTCACTACAGGAAGGTGCGATAGCAGGCTAGAGATCCACCACGAGCAAAGCATATGCTTGATGGCAAATCTTTTCCCCATTTCCTACATTAGATATTCATCAGGGTCTGACTTCTAATTGAATGCAAATAAACGATATAACAGGTTTTTGCATATGAAGTGAAGTTCCATAACATCTGTCTCTTCACAGCCTTTCAACGTACCTTGTGTGACATTAAGCAAAGGAGAGGTTTGCCTCATCAGCTTGTAGGAAAGGAGATGAATTTGAAGAACAGTCTGAGTGAACTAAATCATTCTACTGCTGGTTTAACAGGTGCTTCTTTGATCTCTCTGCGCACACTCCCAAGTGATGAAGTGACAAGTTTGCCATAATCAGTTTCAATGCCAAACTGATGGACTACTGGTAAAGAAGGTCACAAAACATTATTAGTTACCTCGTTTCATCTCATTCTTGAAGGATGATCTAAAAATATAGACTACTTGTTTGGAATATAGTGTATGTTCATAGTTAGCACTGTCCAAGCAAGCTGTTAAATATATTTAAACCATATCCTTAACTGCAAGCACATACATATCTTCTGATCCTTTAGAATCACTATCATAATCATTCATGCTGTGTTTTTTGTTTGCTCAGCAGTCTAATTCAATAACTATACATACTGGCACAGAATAGCCATTCTGTGACGTTTTCAGAAAAAAAATTACAATAAATCTAAACATAAAAGTTAGTATCCCCAAATTAGTCTGTATATTTATGTTGTGGCACATCTGAACATGGAAGGAAAGTCCTAGTAAAAAAAGCTACATAAAATATCTTGCGAGGCTTCCAGAGAGGAACTAAAAAAAGAATCCCCTACCACAATTTCTCTCCACTGACAGATCACTCCTTCA